GGCATTTCGGAAAAATCGTCAGAAATCTGTGATGGTACCCCTTTTGGAATCTGCCAAAAATTGATCCGTCCCAAATCGGTGCTTAATGGACTTAATCCTCGTTGAATAATAGCCTCAGCCCAAATCCGTGATCTGTAGCCTTCAAAATCCAAAAAATGGCCTTTTGTCGCCCAAAAAATTACGAAAATGCCATCCAAAAATAAATTGGGCCCAAATCGGTGCTTAATGGACTTATCATCCGTGGAGAATAGGATCAATAGACTTCATTATCGGTAGAGAATAGCCTCAGCCTAATTCCGTGATCTGTAGCCTCCAGAATCAAAAGAAAATGACATTCCGGAAAAATCGCCTGAAATATGTGATGATACCCCTTTGAAATCTGCCAAAAATTGACACGAAATAAATCCGCCCAAATCGCTGCTTATTGGATTTAATCATCATTGAAGAATAGCCTCAGGCCGAATCCGAGATCTGTAGCCTTCAAAATCCAAAGAAAATGGCCTTTTGTCGCCCAAAAATTTACGAAAATGCCATCCGAAAATAAATTAGCCTAAATCGGTTCTTAATAGACTTATCATCCGTGGAGAATAGGATCAATAGACTTCATTATCAGTGGAGAATAGCCTCTGCCTGATTTTGTGATCTGAGCCTCCAGAATCGAAACAAAATGGCATTTCGTAAAAATCGCACAAAAGCAGTGATGTTACCCCTTTGGAATCTGCCAAAAATTGACCCAGAATAAATCCGCCCAAATCAGTGCTTAATGGACATAATCATCGTTGAAGAATACCCTCAGACCGAATCCGTGATCTTTTGCCTTCAAAATCCAAATAAAATGGCATGTCGTCTCTTAAAAAATTACTAAAATGCGATCTGAAAATAAATTGGCCCAAATCGGTGCTTAATGTACTTATCATCCGTGAAGAATAGGATCAATAGACTTCATTATCGATGGAGAATAGCCTCGGCCAGATTCCGTGATCTGCATCCTCCAGAATCGAAAGCAAATGGCATTTCGAAAAAATTGCCTGATATTTGTGATGATATCCCTTTGGAATCTGCCAAAAATTGACCCGGAATAAATCCGCCCAAATCGTTGCTTAATGGACTTAATCGTCGTTGAAGAATAGCCTCAACCCGAATCTGTGTTCAGTAGCCTTCAAAATCCAAAGAAAATGTCCTTTCGTCGCCCAAAAAGTTACGAAAATGCCATCCGAAAATAAATTGGCTCAAATATGTGCTTAATGGACTTATCATCCGTGGAGAATAGGATCAATAGACTTCATTATCGGTAGAGAATAGCCTCAACCTAATTCCGTGATCTGCAGCCTCCAGAATCGAAAGAAAATGTCATTTCGGAAAAATAGCCCGAAATCTGTGATGCTACCCCTTTGGAATCTGCCATATATTGACCCGGATTAAATTCGCCCAAATCGGTTCTTAATGGACTTAATCATCGTTGAAGAATAGCCTCAGGCCTAATCCGTGATCTATAGCCTTCAAACTCCAAAGAAAATGGCCATTCGTAGCCCCAAAAATTACGAAAATGCCATCCGAAAATAAATTGGTCCTAATCGGTGCTTAATGAACTTATCATCCGTGGAGAATAGGATTAATTGACTACATTATCGGTGTAGAATAGCCTCGGCCTGATTCCGTGATCTGCAACCTCCAGAATAGAAAGAAAATGGCATTTGGCAAAAATTGCCAAAAATCAGTGATGGTACCCCTTTGGAATCTACCAAAAGTTGACCCGGAATAAATCCGCCAAAATCGGTGCTTATTGGATTAAATCATCATTGAAGAATAGCCTCAGGCTGAATCCGAGATCTATAGCCTTCAAAATCCAAAGAAAATGCCCTATTGTCGCCCAAAGAATTACGAAAATTCCATCCAAAGATAAATTGGCCCAAATCGGTGCTTAATGTACTTATCATACGTGAAGAATAGGATCAATAGACTTCATTATCGATGGAGAATAGTCAACCTGATTCCGTGATCTGCATCCTCCAGAATCGAAAGCAAATGGCATTTTGAAAAAATTGCCTGATATTTGTGATGATATATCCCTTTGGAATCTGCCAAAAATTGACCCGGAATAAATCCGCCCAAATCGGTGCTTAATGAACATAATCATCGTTGAAGAATAGCCTCAACTCGAATCCGTGATCTGTAGCCTTCAAAATCAATAGAAAATGGCCTTTTTCGCCTTAAAAATTACGAAAATGCCTTCCGAAAATATATTGGCCCAAATCGAAGCTTAATGGACTTATCATCTGTGGAGAATAGGATCAATATACTTAATTATCGGTGGAGAATATCCTTGGCCTGATTCCGTGATCTACAGCCTCCAGAATCAAAAGAAAATGGCATTTCTGAAAAATCGCCTGAAATCTATGATGGTACACCTTTGGAATCTGCCAAAAATTGACCCGGAATAAATCCGCCAAAATCGGTGCTTATTGGATTAAATCATCGTTGAAGAATAGCCTCAGGCCGAATCCGAGATCTATAGCCTTCAAAATCCATAGAAAATGCCCTATTGTCGCCCAAAGAATTACGAAAATTCCATATGAAGATAAATTGGCCCAAATCTGTGCTTAATGTACTTATCATCCGTGAAGAATATGATCAATAGACTTCATTATCGATGGAGAATAGCCTCGGCCTGATTCCGTGATCTCCATCCTCCAGAATCGAAAGCAAATGGCATTTCGAAAATATTGCCTGATATTTGTGATGATATCCCTTTGGAATCTGCAAAAAATTGACCCGGAATAAATCCGCCCAAATCGTTGCTTAATGGACTTAATCATCGTTGAAGAATAGCCAACCCGAATCTGTGTTCAGTAGCCCTCAAAATCCAAAGAAAATGTCCTTTCGTCGCCCAAAAAGTTACGAAAATGCCATCCGAAAATAAATTGGCCCAAATCAGTACTTAATGAACTTATCATCCGTGGAGAATAGGATCAATAGACTTCATTAATGGTGGAGAATAACCTTGGCCTGATTTCGTGATCTACAACATCAAGAATCGAAAGAAAATGGCATTTAGAGAAAATCGTTCGAAATTTGTGATGGTATCTCTTTTGAATATGCCAATATTGACCTAAAATAAATCCGCCCAAATCTGTGAATAATGGACTTAATCATCTTTGAAGAATAGCCTAAGGCCTAATCTGTGATCTATAACCTTCAAAATGCAAAGAAAATGGCCTTAAATCGCCCAAAAATTATGAAAATGCCAGCCAAAAATAAATTGACCCGAATCGGCGCTTAATAGACTTATCATCCGTGGAGAATAGGATCAATAGACTTCATTAGTGGTAGAGAATAGCCTCGGCCTTATTCCGTGATCTGCAGCCTCCAGAATCGAAAGAAAATGGCATTTTGGAAAAATCGCCTGAAATCTGTGATGGTACCCCTTTCGAATCTGCCCAAAATTGACCCAGAATAAATCCGCCCAAATCGGTGCTTAATGAACTTAATCATCGTTGAAGAATAGTCTCAACTCAAATCCATGATCTGTAGCCTTCAAAATCCAAAGAAAATGGCCTATAGTCGCCCAAAAAATTACGAAAATGTCATTCGAAAATAAATTGGCCCAAATCTGTGCATAATGGACTACTCATCCGTGGAGAATATGATCAATAGACTTCATTACTAGTGGAGAATAGCCTCGGCCTGATTTTTGATCTGCAGCCTCCAGAATCGAAAGAAAATGATATTTCGGAAAAATCGCCTGAAATCTGTGCTGGTGCCCCTTTGGAATCTGCCAAAAATTCACCCAGAATAAATCCGCCCAAATCGGTGCTTAATGAACATAATCATCGTTGAAGAATAGCCTCGACTTGAATCCGTGATCTGTAGCCTTCAAAATCAATAGAAAATGGCCTTTCTTCGCCTTAAAAATTACGAAAATGCCTTCCGAAAATAAATTGGCCCAAATGGAAGCTTAATGGACTTATCATTTGTGGAGAATAGGATCAATAGACTTAATTATCGGTGGAGAATATCCTTGGCCTAATTCCGTGATCTACAGCCTCCTGAATCAAAAGAAAATGGCATTTCTGAAAAATCGCCTGAAATCTATGATGGTACCCCTTTGGAATCTGCCAAAAATTGACTCGGAATAAATCCGCCCAAATCGGTGCTTATTGGATTTAATCATCATTGAAGAATAGCCTCAGGCCGAATCGGGGATCTGTAGCCTTCAAAATCAAAAGAAAATGGCCTTTCGTCGCCCACAAATTTACGAAAATGCCATCCGAAAATAAATTGGTCCAAATCTGTGCTCAATGGACTTATCATCCGTGGAGAATAGGATCAATAGACTACATTAATAGTGGAGAATAGCCTCGACCTAATTCTATGATCTGTAGCCTCCAGAATCGAAAGAAAATGGTATTTCGGAAAAATTGCCTGAAATCTGTGATGGTACCCCTTTGGAATCTGCCAAAAATTCACCCAGAATAAATCCGCCCAAATCGGTGCTTATGAACATAATCATCGTTGAAGAATAGCCTCAACTCGAATCCGTGATCTGTAGCCTTCAAAATCAATAGAAAATGGGCTTTCTTCGCTTTAAAAATTACGAAAATGCCTTCCAAAAATAAATTGGTCCAAATCGAAGTTTAATGGACTTATCATCCGTGGAGAATAGGATCAATAGACTTCATTATCGGTGGAGAATATCCTTGGCCTGATTCTGTGATCTACAGCCTCCAAAATCAAAAGAAAATGACATTTCGGAAAAATCGCCTGAAATCTGTGATGGTACCCCTTTGAAATCTGCCAAAAATTGACACGGAATAAATCCGCCCAAATTGGTGCTTATTGGATTTAATCATCATTGAAGAATAGCCTCAGGCCGAATACGAGATCTGTAGCCTTCAAAATCCAAAGAAAATGGCCTTTCGTCGCCCAAAAATTTACGAAAATGCCATCCGAAAATAAATTAGCCTAAATCGGTTCTTAATAGACTTATCATCCGTGGAGAATAGGATCAATAGACTTCATTATCGGTGGAGAAGAGCCTCTGCCTGATTTTGTGATCTGAGCCTCCAGAATCGAAACAAAATGGCATTTCGTAAAAATCGCACAAAAGCAGTGATGTTACCCCTTTGGAATCTGCCAAAAATTGACCCGGAATAAATCCGCCCAAATCGGTGCTTAATGGACATAATCATCGTTGAAGAATACCCTCAGGCCGAATCCGTGATCTTTTGCCTTCAAAATCCAAATAAAATGGCCTTTCGTCTCTTAAAAAATTACTAAAATGCAATCTGAAAATAAATTGATCGGGAATAAATCCTCCCAAATCGGTGCTTAATGGACTTAATCCACGTTGAATAATAGCCTCAGCCCGAATCCGTGATCTGTAGCCTTCAAAATCCAAAAAAATGGCCTATTGTCGCCCAAAAAATTACGAAAATGCCATCCAAAAATAAATTGGGCCCAAATAAGTGCTTAATGGACTTATCATCCGTGGAGAATAGGATTAATAAATTTCATTATCGGTAGAGAATAGCCTCAGCCTAATTCCGTGATCTGCAGCCTCCAGAATCGAAAGAAAATGACATTTCGGAAAAATAGCCCGAAATCTGTGATGCTACCCCTTTGGAATCTGCCATATATTGACCCGAATTAAATTCGCCAAATCGGTTCTTAATGGACTTAATCAACGTTGAAGAATAGCCTCAGGCCGAATCCGTGTTCTGTAGCCTTCAAAATCCAAAGAAAATGGCCTTTCGTAGCCCCAAAAATTATGAAAATGTCATCCGAAAATAAATTGGTCCTAAATCGGTGCTTAATAAACTTATCATCCGTGGAGAATATGATCAATTGACTACATTATCGGTGTAGAATAGCCTCGGCCTGATTCCGTGATCTGCAGCCTCCAGAATCGAAAGAAAATGGCATTTGGCAAAAATCGCCCAAAATCGGTGATGATACCCCTTTGCAATCTGCCAAAAATTGACCCGGAATAAATCCGCCAAAATTGGTGCTTATTGGATTAAATCATCGTTGAAGAATAGCCTCAGGCCGAATCCGAGATCTATAGCCTTCAAAATCCATAGAAAATGCCCTATTGTCGCCCAAAGAATTACGAAAATTCCATCTGAAGATAAATTGGCCCATATCAGTGCTTAATGTACTTATCATCCATGAAGAATAGGATCAATAGACTTCATTATCGATGGAGAATAGCCTCGGCCTGATTCCGTGATCTGCATCCTCCAGAATCGAAAGCAAATGGCATTTCGAAAAAATTGCCTGATATTTGTGATGATATCCCTTTGGAATCTGCCAAAAATTGACCCGGAATAAATCCTTCCAAATCGTTGCTTAATGGACTTAATCATCGTTGAAGAAAAGCCTCAACCCGAATCTGTGTTCAGTAGCCTTCAAAATCCAAAGAAAATGTCCTTTCGTCGCCCAAAAAGTTACGAAAATGCCATCCGAAAATAAATTGGCCCAAATCAGTACTTAGTCGTGTATTTTGTCATAGTCGTGTATTTTGGCCTATTTTACGCCGGGTTGTGCTATTTTGTCATATTTCAAGTCCCAGACGTCAAAGGGAAGGCTAAGCACGAGTTTCGGGGCATTCGGAAGTCATTTCGTCGAGCTGGAGCCAAAACACGGGCACACCTAAAACAGAACACGGCCGTGTTTTGTGGCCGTGCTTTTACTGCCGAGAGCTAATTCGAGTTGGCAAAATCAAGCCAAAACACGGGCACAAAGCACGGCCGTGTTCCACCAAAGCACGACCGTGTTCCACCAAAGCAAGGCCGTGTTTCTCCCTGTGCACTGGCCGTGTAATTAACACTAGCCAAAGCACGGGCGGGCTGAGGCAAAGCACGGCCGTGCCCTCGACCGTGCTTTGGCCAGTGATGCCCTTTTAAGCAGATTTTCAGCCAAACAGAAGGGGATTGGAGTTTTAGAGAGAGAGAACGATTCCTAGAGAGAGAAAGCGATGAACAAGAGTCTTCAAGTGCCCTAGCTTGATCTTCAACACCATTGGAGGCCAGTTTGAGCTTGGAGAAGTGCCGATCAACGTCCAGGAGCAGGATCCATCCTTCACAGTATGAATTCCGCGTCTGATTCTGCTTTTGCTTCTTTCTCCATGGAGTAGTTCTCCCATTCATCTGGGTATGGAGAACCCTAGATTTGTATGTTAGGATTGATTGTATGAACCCAAGTACTGATTCTATGATTTGATTATATTCAATTGAGGTTTGAATGATTGAATGACTTGAATCCTGATCAAATTCCTGTTGTTTCTGCTTTAACCTAGAATGAGAATATCTGCCTAGGTTGATAGAGCATCCTTGATTGAAGGTAGGGAGTTGGTGACTTTAGTCGAGGAGCCAACTCACTATTCTGTACCGGATTTACTCCGGTAGTGGAGGTTTTGTTTGTTAAGGCCTCATTCTGTTTACTCCGGTGGAGGTTAGTCGCCCGCTAGAGACTCAGATTGAGAGGGTCTGAAGACCTTTAGTCGAGACTTCAGGCTGTTTAAGAACCTTCCGCAGTATAACTGTCATTGAAACTGAACTTGGTAATTACAATCCGGCTTAACTGCAGTCTAGGGGGAACCATATCCGGGTGACCTCTCTTAACCTGAATACAACCGTTTACTTGCTTTGTTAGTTTGAGAGTTTAGACTTGCATGCCAGTTTCATTGCTAGATAACAAGAATTCACTGAGTAGTCATCAGATCTAGGACCCGGGTTGATAATTAAACCCAAACCCGCTATACTACGCTTTAGGAAGTGGTTTCACTTGGCCAATTCCTGGAGTAACAGTAGAAGTGAGTCAGGATCAATAGACTTCATTAATGCCGGAGAATAACCTTGGCCTGATTTCGTGATCTACAACATCAAGAATCGAAAGAAAATGGCATTTAGAGAAAATCGTCCGAAATTTGTGCTGGTATCTCTTTTGAATATGCCAAAATTGACCTAGAATAAATCCGCCCAAATCTGTGAATAATGGACTTAATCATCTTTGAAGAATAGCCTCAGGCCTAATCCGTGATCTATAACCTTCAAAATGCAAAGAAAATGGTCTTAAATCGCCCAAAAATTATGAAAATGCCAGCCAAAAAAAATTGACCAAAATTGGCGCTTAATAGACTTATCATCCGTGGAGAATAGGATCAGTAGACTTCATTAGTGGTAGAGAATAGCCTCGGCCTTATTCCGTGATCTGCAGCCTCCAGAATCGAAAGAAAATGGCATTTCGGAAAAATCGCCCGAAATCTGTGATGGTACCCCTTTCGAATCTGCCCAAAATTGACCCAGTATAAATCCGCCCAAATCGGTGCTTAATGAACTTAATCATCGTTGAAGAATAGTCTCAACTCAAATCCATGATCTGTAGCCTTCAAAATCCAAAGAAAATGGCCTATAGTCGCTTAAAAAATTACGAAAATGTCATTCGAAAATAAATTGGCCCAAATCTGTGCATAATGCACTAGTCATCCGTGGAGAATAGGATCAATAGACTTCATTACTAGTGGAGAATAGCCTCGGCCTGATTTCGTGATCTGCAGCCTCCAGAATCGAAAGAAAATGGCATTTCGGAAAAATCGCCTGAAATCTGTGATGGTACCCCTTTGGAATCTGCCAAAAATTCACCCAGAATAAATCCGCCCAAATCGGTGCTTAATGAACATAATCATCGTTGAAGAATAGCCTCAACTCGAATCGGTGATCTGTAGCCTTCAAAATCAATAAAAATGGCCTTTCTTCGCCTTAAAAATTACGAAAATGCCTTCCGAAAATAAATTGGCCCAAATCGAAGCTTAATGGACTTATCATCTGTGTAGAATAGGATCAATAGACTTAATTATCGGTGGAGAATATCCTTGGCCTGATTACGTGATCTACAGCCTCCAGAATCAAAAGAAAATGGCATTTCTGAAAAATCGCCTGAAATCTATGATGGTACCCCTTTGGAATCTGCCAAAAATTGACTCGGAATCCGCCCAAATCGGTTCGTATTGGATTTAATCATCATTGAAGAATAGCCTCAGGCCGAATCGGAGATCTGTAGCCTTCAAAATCCAAAGAAAATGGCCTTTTGTCGCCCAAAAATTTACAAAAATGCCATCCGAAAATAAATTCGCTCAAATATGTGCTTAATGGACTTATCATCCGTGGAGAATAGGATCAATAGACTACATTAATAGTGGAGAATAGCCTCGGCCTAATTCTGTGATTTGCAACCTCCAGAATCGAAAGAAAATGGCATTTCAGAAAAAACGCCTGAAATCTGTGATGGTACCCCTTTGGAATCTGCCAAAAATTCACCCAGAATAAATCCGCCCAAATCGGTGCTTATGAACATAATCATCGTTGAAGAATAGCCTCAACTCGAATCCGTGATCTGTAGCCTTCAAAATCAATAGAAAATGGGCTTTCTTCGCCTTTAAAATTACGAAAATGCCTTCCGAAAATAAATTGGCCCAAATGGAAGTTTAATGGACTTATAATCCGTGGAGAATAGGATCAATAGACTTCATTATCGGTGGAGAATATCCTTGGCCTGATTCCGTGATCTACAGCCTCCAGAATCAAAAGATAATGACATTTCGGAAAAATCGCCTGAAATCTGTGATGGTACCCCTTTGGAATCTGCCAAAAATTGACCCGGAATAAATCCGCCCAAATCGGTGCTTATTGGATTTAATCATCATTGAAGAATAGCCTCAGGCCGAATCCGAGATCTGTAGCCTTCAAAGTCCAAAGAAAATGACCATTCGTCTCCCAAAAATTTACAAAAATGCCATCCGAAAATAAATTAGTCTAAATCGGTTCTTAATAGACTTATCATCCGTGGAGAATAGGATCAATAGACTTCATTATCGGTGGAGAATAGCCTCTCCCTGATTTTGTGATCTGAGCCTCCAGAATCGAAACAAAATGGCATTTCGTAAAAATCACACAAAAGCAGTGATGTTACCCCTTTGGAATCTGCCAAAAATTGACCCGGAATAAATCCGCCCAAATCGGTGCTTAATGGACATAATCATCGTTGAAGAATACCCTCAGGCCGAATCCGTGATCTTTTGCCTTCAAAATCCAAATAAAATGGCCTTTCGTAACCTAAAAAATTACTAAAATGCGATCTGAAAATAAATTGGCCCAAATCGGTGTTTTATGAACTAATCATTCGTGGTGAATAGGATCAATAGGCTTCATTATCGGAGGAGAATAGCCTCGGCCTAATTTCGTGATCTACATCCTCCCGAATCGAAAGAAAATGGCATTTCGGAAAAAGCGTCTGAAATCTGTGATGGTACCCCTTTTGGAATCTGCCAAAAATTGATCCGAAATAAATCCTACCAAATCGGTGTTTAATGGACTTAATCCTCGTTGAATAATAGTCTCAGCCCGAATCCGTGATCTTTAGCCTTCAAAATCCAAAAAAATGGCCTTTTGTCGCCCAAAAAATTACGAAAATGTCATCCAAAAATAAATTGGGCCCAAATCGGTGCTTAATGGACTTATCATCCATGGAGAATAGGATCAAAAGACTTCATTATCGGTAGAGAATAGCCTCTGCCTAATTCCGTGATCTGCAGCCTCCAGAATCGAAAGAAAATGACATTTCGGAAAAATAGCCCGAAATCTGTGATGCTACCCCTTTGGAATCTGCCATATATTGACCTGGATTAAATTCGCCCAAATCGGTTCTTAATGGACTTAATCATCGTTGAAGAATAGCCTCAGGCCGATTCCGTGATCTGTAGCCTTCAAAATCCAAAGAAAATGGCCTTTCGTAGCCCCAAAAATTACGAAAATGCCATCCGAAAATAACTTGGTCCTAAATCGGTGCTTAATGAACTTATCATCCGTGGAGAATAGGATCAATTGACTACATTATCGGTGTATAATAGCCTCGGCCTGATTCCGTGATCTGCTGCCTCCAGAATCGAAAGAAAATGGCATTTCGGAAAAATCGCCCAAAATTTGTGATTGTACCCCTTTGGAATCTGCCGATAATTGACCCAGAATAAATTCACCCAAATCGGTGCTTAATGAACTTAATTATCGTTGAAGAATAGCCTCAGGCCGAATCCGTGATTTGTAGCCTTTCAAATCCAAAGAAAATGGCATTTCGTCGCCCAAAAAATTACAAAAATGCCATCTGAAAATAAATTGGTCCCAAATCAGTTCTTAATGGACTTATCATCCATGGAGAACAGGATCAATAGACTTCATTATTGGTGGAGAGTAGCCTCGGTATGATTTCGTGATCTGCAGCCTCTAGAATCGAAAGAAAATGGCATTTCGGAAAAATTGTCTGACATCTGTGATGGTACCCCTTTGGAATCTGCCAAAAATTGACCCGGAATAAATCCGCCCAAATCGGTGCTTAATGAACTTAATCATCGTCGAAGAATAGCCTCAGTCCGAATCCGTTACCTGTAGCCTTCAAAATCCAAAGAAAATGGTCTTTAGTCACCCAAAAAATTGTGAAATTTCCATCCGAAAATAAATTGGTCCCAAATTGGTGCTTGTCACCACTAGCTCGTCCGGAGGTCTTAGACACGGGTTCAGATGATTGGCGATTGGCTTGGACATGGGAAAAGGCTTTTTGGATGGTGGCATTGCAATCATGACGTGAGGTTCTACATCTTCAACCTAAACCCGAAGGGTATATGGTTTCGACTAAAACCCCTCTCTTCAATCGAAGGCCACTAGCACCGGCCAAAATCCTTCTATATCCCTTCCAACTATCACCCATCATGAACTACCTTGAAGCACTCTTCCTCGATCAACTCTTGCTAGCTCTTTAAGGTTTAGTAGTGAAGGAGTTCTAAGCAATGTGGGGGTTTCGATGGCTTGGGTGCCAAGAAACCCCTCCTAGAACATGTACTTTGGCTTTTCGTGGCACTCTCTACTTTATTTACCCCATTTTATTACCTCTTTTTCGTTTCTCTTTTCTTTCTCTTATCTTTCTTTTTGAGGGGGGTACTAGAGAGTAAAAATACTTGCCACCTAAACATTTAACAACCAATGCTCTCTTTTTGAGGAACTCACTCCAACACTACACTTCATTTGCATTCCTAGCAAGAACCGCACACAAACCTCCTATGTAGAACCCACAAAGTCACAAACGAAGCTCCTAAATTGAGAACGACCCACAAAGTCACAAGGCTCAAACGGTTGACTAAGGGATGATGCATTTCAGGACAATCAACATTTGCGCGTGGACTCATCCTATGCCTCCATCATACTTGCTAGTGAGAACTATGATTCTACACACCGTGGTAAGAGTGAACTATCACACCGAAAGAAACGATCGGCTCAAAGCTCATAGGCTACCAAGTTACCCAACCATCTATTCCAATTCACAAATACGATGCATGGCAATTGTAGACAACAAGTGATCAAGTCAAGACATCCATTCATATACGCACACCTGAGAACTAAACTTTTGCCCTATCCTAATGAACTTCTCAGTCATCATCATAGGATATGCTCGATCACATGCAACAATTCAAGATTAATGCCATAAACACGAGAATTTCCCACCATTCGGCCACTTTTGATCATGCAAACATTCCTTGGAGCCCTCAAATTTTGAAATTTGGGTATACACAAGGCTCCAGGCATCATCACACTCACACAAGCCTACTAGTAGACTAGCCCCCCACTCTTAAACTCGGTATTGCCCTCAATGGTGTAAGAAAGGGGTAGAATGATATTACCGCTTGGGCTTGGTGAGTGAAAGTTGGAATCAAACCGGAGTAGGATAATTTGAGCTTCAAGGAGAGACAAAAAACACAAACACAATACGACTCGCTCAAGGCGAGGTTATTACAAGCACAATACGTAGTAGTAGTTTATGCCACACACACACAAATAACAGAAACAAAAACAAAACAAGTTTAGGGTTCCAAGTAGAGAAGTGGGGCGAAAGGACTCCGCTCTGCCACATGTCTCTCTCATCGGCTACCTCTCTCCGGTGGAAGGACCCTGTCCAGCATTGGGTAGGATACCCTGGTGGCGAGCCATACGCTCGAGAATATCGGATTGTCGGTCGAGGCGGGATGAGAATCCCATGAAGCTCGTCTCTAAGCGATCCACCCGCTATACGAGGGGATTGCCTGCTGCTGCTGGTGGTGGTTGCTGTGCAGGCCGCGGGAGCGCTGGTCGGCGGCGGCCGGGTGCTCGAGCAGGTGGATGCTCTACTGCTGGTAGGACCTCAGGGTCGGGCTCCACTGGAGTCGGTGCTACTGCAGCTTGTAACACTCCGGAAGGTCGGGGTCCATCAAGATACTCCACTCCTCTCTTGCCATGGAGTACCAGCTTCTCGTTATATAATGTCTTCACTTGGAAGGGCTCCATCCTTATGATGCTAGTGCAGCGGGCAAGATCCACCTGGAAGTGGCGGGCGATCCTCGTGATGATGCCCTGATATGATCCCAAACGATCAACTATACGCGATTAAATTACTTGACGAAGAAGCTATCGAATTTGGGAAGAAGAAGGGCAGAATATGGCTAAGTCAAAATCCGTGTTCAGGGTACATACTTTGGAGGCATGGTTCTCTCAATTGGCTTGGTGAAAATTCAAGGTTAAGGGTTTCTTTTGTAGATAAAGTTTCCATGTTTCCAATGATATGCTTTGTGAATCCAGATGATGTCATTAAGGTTGTTTTTGTTTTCCAAGACCTCAAAGTTGCTACCTCAAAACTGGAAAACTGCCAGAAAATGACTAAGGCAGAAAACTGTTTTGTGAAGCCTACTTTGGAGCTAAATTCAAGGATCATGGATGAGATTCAAGTCAAAGGGCTTCCACAACATGAAACTAGG